CAGGATTTTCTCGGCCAATGTGTTTTGAACCAACCAGGAGCCTTTCTCCTCCCAAGTGGGTTTTCCTACAGTATTAGTAACTTCTCATTCCTCCGCTCTCTCTCCTTCCATCCCAGCCTTGTTACTGACCAGAAACCCCCAACTCTCTGTTATATTAGATGGGGTTTCTGCTTTGTTGTTTTTGTAACAAGGAAGAAATGGAAAATGCAGGCAGTGAAAAACAGTGCAAGGTACAAATCTGACAGCAGTCCCCTGTCAGCCAGCGGAGGGGAGAGGGAGCAGAAGCAGCAGCAGCCTGTCAATCCGGAATGCACCCATCCACCATGCCCCTGGTCTGGGGAGTCTCAGATGGGTGGCAGTAGACCTGCCTCATCCCCCCAGTGCCATCAGCTCCTCGGGGCAGTACGTTTTGGGCTTTGGAAGCCCCATGGGTGCTAATTTTCCTGCTTAAAGCCAATGTTTTGGTCCACAGTGGTTTCTTTGCCAAGGTTTTCTTTGGCCACAGCCACCAGCTCCATGTGCTCTAGGAGCCACTCCATGCTGCGATAGGCTCTGTTAAATGAGCGTGTTATAAAAAACTCATCTCTTATCCACCTGGTCCATCTCCTCATCCCTGAAAACAGCCACAGTGTGAAGACCCGCTGTTGCTACTGCCCTTGTAGCTCCAATATCTCCAGTTGGAAGGGACCCATAAGGATCATCAAGTCCAACTCCCTGATCCTTGCAGGACCACATAAAACGAAATCATATGGCTAAGAGCATTGTCCAGGTGATCCTTGAACTCTGACAGACTGCCACGCTGCTCACGGAAGCAGGTGGGTTGCTTTGACAGCTCAGAGAACAAGTAGCAATTGGGTTAAGGCAGTATGGACCCCGTGTTCGCACAGCCCAGGTGAGGACTTTGGGATGTCGGGGATGTATCACCATCAGTCTGTGTCTCCTGACTTGGACAGGGAAGCAGCCAGGGGCAAAGAGAGGGCAAACCTTCAGCTCTCTACAGCGCAGCAGCCTGGGGAGGACTTCAGGTCCCAGGGAGATTTAATGGGGCTCTGCAAAGAGTGGGGCAGCGGAAAGAGATGCCCACCCCAGTTAATGGTGTAGCCTGGTGCCAGAAAGATTGGTTTATTTCCCACCATCCGCTTCTTGTAGCAGGAGGCAGGAGTCCCAGGGGGTTGGGCACCCCAAGGGTCCTTCTGGGCCAGCTGTGACATGTCATGCATTTTTGAGAGTGCCTAACTCAATGCCGCGTTTTCAGCTGCTCTGCCCTCAGGAGAGTCATCTTTCTGGTGTGAAACCCTTCCAACCGTGAGCTTGCTTTGCTTGCTTCCTCTTTGGTGGGACATGTCACCTCTCCCTCACCTGCTCGCCTCCATCACCCCAAAGCCATCCCCAGCTGTCCCGGTGTCACCTGGACCAGGCCAATCCTGTCTGCTCGTCCCTTGCCCTGGCCCCAGGAGCTCAGTGGGGCCATTGGCCTGTGAGCACGCTTCCTGGGAGTATTTCTGCCTTGCTCTTGGTAAAGCAGGGGGTAATGATGTTGTGCTGTGGGAGTGACCTTTAATAACTCAGCAGTGACATTAACTCACCTTTTACACAAGGTGAAAGCCACGCACAGACTTAGATCTGTGATTTCTGCTGGTGCCACAAGCCCTGCTCCTTCTGGACAGGGGATGGGTGGCGGTGCTGGCGTACTCAGCGGGGTGGAGCTTCAGCATCTGAGTGATCTGGGGATGTGACCCTAGGAAGTACATGAAACTGGAGCTTGTTTTGGCTTGTTTCTCCTTCTGCCTTATTTATCGTTGCTGCTTTACCTTCTCCTGTCTTTCCCTGCGGTGACCCACTGCAGAGCCCCGTTGGGAGGGTGTGCTGTGGCATCGCTGCCCACCCCGGGCATGCTGGGCAGCCTGCACCAGTGTGGGCCAGTGGATACACCTCCTGGGGTTCAGCAGATGCTGTCAAGATGAGCAGGGACATTTCCTTCTAGGTGGGGACTTCAGGACATGGGCCGTCATTGCATCTCCCTCCTTTTCCTCGCTCTGCTCTTGGCACCGTGGAGGGACAGTGATGCAAGCTGGTGGGCAGAGGGGCTGTGGTTGGCTTTTCCTGTGGTGCAGCTGCGAGCCCCCGTGCTCTAGAGGGTGCTTGGCCGGGGGTTGCAAGGTCTTTTTGTACTGCCGTTGGGTGCAACGAGGCACCCAGAACGCATGGATACCTAGACAGAGCCCAGCTACCTGCTGGTCCTCAACCTCCAGGATGCCCCAGGTCAGGCTTGAGCTGCTTTTTGGCTTTCTTTAGGGGGAAACTGTCCTGTCAAGCCAGCCCAGCCTGGCCCCTCCCACCTCAGACTGTCCTGTTCACCCTTTTCACAAACTTGTTGAGATCCAGCTTCGGCCTCCTGCAGCCTTTCCCTAAGGAGAGGACATTGAGAATCTCTCTTCCGAGGGCTGGGAGCCTCCTGCTTGCCTTTCTAATCACCCAGGAGCTGGTTATGCTCAACCACTTCTTCTGCTCCCCCCTGCTTCCAACTATTCTTAACCCTTGCAGCCACAGCTTTTGTGTTTCGAGGCTCTAGCACTTGTCCCCATGAAGCCATCCTGAAACGGTGAGTGTCCAGATCCCTGCCACAAAGACGGCTGGAGCACATCTCTCCTCCTTTGCTATCAGTCACGGGAGTCAATACAGTTGTCTGTTGGCAGAACTGATTTTTGAAGCAGCTGGTACAATTGTAATTGGTGCTGATTACTTTAAATAGCATCTGCAAAATATAGCTGTCAGGGCTTGTTTAATTTTGAACAAAGACTTACAATTATATTTATTGTTAGAGCTGCTGATTTGTTCAGAGGGACCTCTGGCCAGAATCTGATTGAGAAGCATTTTTCTATCTGATAGAGAGTCAGGAGCTCACCTGATGCTTATAAATTGCCTGGCTGACGTGCAAAGCATGAGGAAGGAGAGGACTTACTGGGTCATGTTTTACCATCTGTAAAAGCACTGCAAGTCAAAATAACTCCAGTAAAGTCAGTGGAGACTTCTTCCAGGGCTGTGACCTGTCAAGAGAGGGAAGTACTGCTGCCTCAGGGTGATCTCCACAAAGAGCTGCTGTGCCTGCAGTGCCAGAGGTGGCTGGCCCTGGTCCAGCTTCGGTTGAACCAAAGTGCCTGAGGAGCTTTAGTGCCTCTCCCCTGCAAAACTGGACCAGCCACATCCCATGGAAATACTCTGGGAGAGGCATGAGCCCTGTCAGATGGAGCTTGAGGGGCCTCAGACCCTCCTCTGACTTTTCTCATCTAAAGTGATGGGATGGCCAAGGTCTGTGGGCTTCAGCAGGAGCCAAGGAATTTTGTGCATCCAAAAATCAAATCCTGTGGCTCCTGCTTCAAGGTGCTGGCAAGCTTTGGTTGCTGCCCCAGGAACGTGAGACACTTCAATTCTGCTGCATCCATTCCCACACAATTTCTGCTTTCAAACAAGACATCAAAATTCTCCCTCATCTCTTCAAAACTGACATGTTTTTGACTTGGATAAGTAAGTGGCTGTTGAAATTGCATATGAACTTTGAGTTAATTAATACTTGGTCACAGTGGGACTGCTCGCTGGATTTAGATGAATGCCAAATCCAGCTTAATCCCTTGCAGCGAGTGCAAGGCAGGACTTGGAGGTGTTGGGTCTCACCGCAGCAATGTTGCTTCTCTTCTCTGTCTCTCCACTGCCTGGTCTGAATTTCAGTGGGTGGTTCAGTAAATACACAAACCTTAGCTCAGCAGGGGAATTTATCCCAGCAAAGAAATAGGCTTCAGGGCCATTTGGATGAAATGCTGTTCAGAAGTCAATCTTGATGAGGGTAAACCCTTGCCACTGCCTTCCTCAGCTGCTGGCCAGCTGGCCCAGCTCAAGCCCAGTGTTCCCACACGGTGCACTGGGAAGGCTTTTGGTTTGTGCCTGTATTATATTATTTTGTTTTCAGCTGCAAACACCCTTGAGCTGTCTGTAACTGGCTCCAAAGTGTCCTTTTAATATGCATCTGATGGCCAGAAGGAGAAATAAACGTGCACTGTAGGGGCCTGTAAGCTGTTCGGGTGCCTCATGGGCATGCGGTCTTGGGTGCTTTTCCCTGTGATGACCTGAGAAGAGCTCATGCTTTGTTGGGAGTCTCATTTTAACCCAGTGCCGTGGCTAGTGGGGGCACCAGCGGGTGGTCCTTGGGGGCCTGGGCAAGGATGCTCCACACGTGGGTGACATGCACTAGGGAAGCAGTCTCAGCACTGTTAAAACTCTTGCATTTCATGCAAAGGGGCGGTGGCTTCTGGCTCCTGTCCCTGGTGCTGGCCGGGTCTGTGGGGAGCTGGGGCACTCCTCTTGCAGCGCTGCAGGGTTGGGGGGATGGTCCTCATGTTGCTGGCTTTCGCACAGCCTCAGCCGGCCGGGTCACATCATCCTGTGTGAATCTTCACGTGTAGTTTGCAGAAGCGGTGTGATTTCTAGCTCCTCTATTCTGGGGGGCAGGTGTGGGAAGCTGTGGCCCTAGCAGGCTCAGAAACCAAGAGACAGACAGAGATATTTTCTTTCAACATCTCCGAGGATGGGGACAGTGGGTGACACAAGGCTGTCCTGGCCTTAGCAGGAAGGACTCTTCGCCCCCTGGTGTCAATCTGCCCGTGCTGCCATTAAATGCCCACTGTTAATTCCTGGATGCATTTTGTCTCAACTGAGGGGTGACCAGGTTGGGTGAGATAGACTTGGATGGCTTAACCCCTTGCTTTCAGCCCCTCCAGCTCCAGGCTGACCTGCTTATGTCAGGAGGCTCCATCTCTCGGCTCCACAGTGCTGATGGAGGCACGTCCACAGCCCTTCGGCCCCTCTGGTTTGGGATGGGTCCTCTCTGCAGGTGGAGGAGCTGCTCTCTGCTCCTTGCCTTCCTCCCTGCATTCACAGCCTTGGCTAGGAGGTGCTGGAGGGGAAGAGCTGCCTAACGCTTGGGCTGATGCTGGGCATCTTATCTTCCCCTTTCTTCTCCGTTTTGAAAACAACCCCCTTCAGCACCAGGAAGATTTCTTGTCCCAGGGGTCAGCTTTCTATTGACACCTTGGGTTCCTCCCTCC